CAACTCCCATAAAGTTATAAATAAAAGTCGTTTTTTTTCCGAAATTTGATATAGCGGTTGCCGAAGGCTATGACGGTGATACAGATTTTCCAAATGATGTCGATGGACAAAATGGCGTATTGTACATGAGAACAAAACAAAAACGAATTGTAACCAAATTGACAATTTTCAAAGCACTGCTAGTACTGGTAAAACTGACTCGCATATGATACAGGACCAATACCCCGTGTTACTACAATGACAGTGATGTTTATTATGTTCAGTGTAATCAACCGTCTGCCGACGATATTCTTATGACAGATATGCAAACAGACACTTATTTCGACACTGACGTTTTTCACAGGTTCTTACATCAGAAAGTGACATTTTTGTGAAAGGTATGTACACAGACACTTACAATGAAACCCTCTTTCAAAAAATATCAGAAGAAGTTGTGCAAATTTCATGTTTTATGATAGTGTCTGTCTTCATAAGAGGATCCGGCAATCAAATGAACCAAACAATTATCTAATTATCAATAAGTTTTAGAAAATACATCATGATTCTATGTTAGCAGCACTCGGAGGAATCAGTGACAAGTACGATCGAATCAAGGAACATTACTTTTTAGAAAATGTCCGATGTGATGTCGATCTATGTTAATTCTTGTCACTTTTGTCTGACTCGTTAATTGACAAATATAAACACGAAATTAGGAATCACCGCTTACAGGACACCGCTCGAACCTTTTCAAGATTTACAGGCCGATATTTTCGGTCCCATTCCGACAACTGACAAATGAAATTGTTACATTCTTACTACATGTACTACATGTAACATGTTCAACAAGTTTGGTTGCTCGATTTTTCTTACTGAAAGGGACGTTATTTCAGTTGCACATGCACTATTCCAACTCCTTACTACATATGAAGTGTGCGATACGCGTCTTACCGACCAATGAATGGAATATGGCAAAAGGTTTTCAGCATTTTTGTTCAGAATTGGTTACTAAACATTGGTTACTAAAACATCATTTCACTCCCAGCTTTGTTCACCAGTGCCTAACCCTTTGCAAAAGGTTTCATCAAAGTCTTGCAAAGCGATTAACGCCATAAGTGCAGAAAAATGTTCAATCTTGGGACACATATTTATCGTCTGTTGTTTTCTGTATGAATATCGCTGTGAATGGATCGTTTGGATACTCACCATATGAGATTGTGTATGGATCAAGACCTAAATTTCCGTGTTGCAATCCGACATTGAAGTTCTGAAAAGTTGTGAGGAGTATGTTAAACAGCTGGAAAAATATTTGTCGTTAATTCAGTAAACCGTCCGTGCAAATATCGACAAGTCTCAAACCAAAATGCTTCTGAGAATTCATTGTGTTATAAGGAAAAGGACTATGTGTATTTTTTATCCAAACCTAATGGCCAAGGCCAAAGCTTAAACCTCAGTACATTGGACCAATGAAGATTAGTAAACTTTGTACCAATCATATGGTTATGTTGCGCAATCCAACAACAGGCAATTTTATTAAACACGCCGTGCATGTAAACAGACTTAAACCCCCTTATGTGCGACAGCCATATGTCAAGGAGGCTGGTCAAGTTTGGATAGATTCGTCCGTTCAGTCGACTACAACATCGAACATCGTATAACAGAATACTACTGACAAGTCTATAGTTAGCGATACAGCTCACAGCACAAATAAACCTAAGATGATTACGCCCAGACCGAAACGTACTCTTAAAAACCTATATGTTATCGTGATGGTGTTGATACTTCGGAGGTTAATTCGAGTGATGAAAACCGAAAAATACGTGTAATTGCACAACGCACTAATGCACCAAACATAGATTATCTCGTACAAACTTATCAGTTTGGTTTCCGCAAAGCAAACTTAATGCTGTAGCAAAACGTTACATGTATGTGCAACTAAATCCGCCACTGTGTGCGTAAGCTGGTGTATTGTCAATATTTCCCATATTTGTCTCATTATGTTATTTGATATTGATATTGTACTTAATAATATTTTTTTTTAATATGCTAGGATTGAGTAAGTATTGGATTATGTAGAATGTGTATGACGTGTGTTCAGGGTGTATAGAAAAATAACCCGATGTTGATTTTCGTTTGAACCATTTTTTTTTATTTATTTATTTATTTTTTTTTTTTTATGTATTTTAGTTGTTGTCAGAATTGAAATTTATCAGCATTTTAAGAAGTTGAATTTAATTTGTGTAATTCTCTTCTTTCGTCGTTGAAATAATTGTTTTGTCTATGTGAAGTTATGTGCAATCCGTACACTGAATAGAATAGAACATCCCTTACATCATTTTGTATACGTGTGTTAGGCTGTTGAAAAACCATTGCTCTTTAAAGCAAGACCTGTTTGAAATGTATAGTTGAGCATAAAAATATAAGAAATGTTTATGAAACAATAAGAGTGTCTTAATTATGCTGATGATATGCTGTATATGGTTTTGTAGTTTACTTTTCATTGCAGTATATTTGTAAGTGCTGCTGAAAGTATGATATAGTCTAATGTTCATTGTTGTAAAATTTTGGGGACCAAAGGTTTTTTTTTTAATGGTGGGGGAGGAGGGTGATGATGTTTATTTGCAATTACTATACGTAGATTGTTCATGTCTGGTCCGTCATTGTTTGCCTTTATATATTGTTATGTATGTTTCCGTATGATAATAAACATGTGGTTGAAAGAAAAAGATGTTGTTCCTAGCCAAATATATCCAAAGAGAGATAACATATTACCTCATATAGCTCCCAAATGCCACTAATATTGCAAATGATTATAGTTGAAAAAGACTATAATATGTAATGGATCGTAGCCGAAGCACTCATTGACTACAGAGAGGATAAATAAAGGCAACTGTTACAGTAGTATACTGCTATTCGAAATTCATAAATCGATTGAGAAAAAAACAAATCCGGGTTAAAAACTAAAACTGAGGGAAACACATCAAATATAAGAGGAGAACAACGACACAACACTAAAATGCAACACACACAGAAACAAACTATAATATAACAATGGCCATTTTCCTGACTTGGTACAGGACATTTTAAGAAAAAAATGGTGGGTTGAATCTCGTTTTGTGGCTAAAACTCCCGCTTTTATGGCAATGTTAAATATAACATTAAAATGCATTAAAAAAGACGGACAATACTGATTTGACCAGACTACAAAATCGCAAAAAAATAAATAGTATGAATAGACAAAGACCAGTATGGGTTATATCTAGTTGATTTGGTGATATATTGTATTTGACAAAGACGTAGAATAAGCAAGAAGGACCTAAGTGTAATTATTCCATCGTGATAGAACTTAAGAAGGTTTTTCTATATATGTGAATTGGATTTTGAAAAAAAACAGCATATTCACCAGAAGAAATAGTACATTCAACGCACAAAACGTCGCGTATTTAATAACGATATATTTGTGGACGTACATACGGCTTTATTTAGGGTTGTAACACAGAACATGCTGTATAGTGGCATGTAGATGGTGTACCTTTCAGATCTGCAATGTTTTGTCAGTCGTAAAGGATGATAATTTTAATTACCATGCCGCTACCTCAAATTGTAATTGTATTATACATATATTATTTGCATGATAATAACATTATCCACCTTTACGACAGACAAAAACAGCTGATTTGCAATGTATATCATTTACTTGCCACTATACATCATACACTGTGTTACAACCCTAACTAAAACCGACAAGGACTAACGAAATTTATATTTTAATCAAGCATAGTTGGTTGAGGGGTCTGGAACACTGGACACAGTTCAAGATGTATCCACGATGTCTCAGATGCGGGGTTTCGAATCCCGCTGAGGGAAGAATTAGAATTTGCTAACGCAAAATTTCAGACGAAGTATTATATAATTTATGGTGTTAGCCCTTCATAACCACATATCTGCTTACCCTTCCGGAGCACCTGAGATCACCCCCAGTTTTCGGTGGGGTTCGTGTTGCTTAGTCTTTAGTTTTCTATGTTGTGTTTTGTGTACTGTTGTTTGTCTGTTTGTCTTTTTATTTTTAGCCATGGCGTTGTCAGTTTGTTTTCGATCTATGAGTTTGACTGTCCCTCTGGTATCTTTCGCCCCTCTTTTATCCGATAGAGAATGTCAGTGGTAGTCTTTAATTCTGACGTAATTTCTGAAAAGGATCTGTGATAAAGATTAAATTCCCTGAATTAGTTGACTTTTATAGCTCTACATGAATAACTTTAAGAATTAAAGCATCTCATTTTATTTAAAGTTAATGCAATTTTCGATGCATTTCATTTAATTTTTAGACATTTGATGTTTTAGTTATATTCTTTCACATTTAAAAGGTACCAAAATCAATTATACATTATAATTCCATCGATAGACATCATCATAACCAAGAGAACAAAAGCAAAGATGTGCTATTCAACATGATTAAATATAAATATACGTCTAAACCTGTGACGACTTTAGTACAGACGTTCTCAATCATATTGCTTGTGGTTTTAGTGTTTCCATGATAAATATATATATTTATAATTCGTCTCACATTTAGCTCAACAATGAGGAGGAAAGGCATTATTTCAATAACGAAACTTATATTTTCATACAGCCTTGTTGTTCAAGTGGTCTCGGGCGCTGGAAATAGTGTAGGCGGTATTGCCACGATGTCATGGAAGCAGGTTTCAATCTTGCTGTAGGAAGACCAAAAATATGGAAGATCTAACTTTGTTGGTAGAACCATTACAAAATATATTTGTGGATTTTGGTGGTATTTTATACATGTTTCTTTTAAACATGTTTCGTTGATTTCTTTTGCCAATATCAATGCATATTGTGCATTTTCGCAAAGATGATTCATTTGAGGTAATGTTAAATTTTGCAAACGGTTACTGGATTTATGACTATTGAACAGCGGTATACTACTGTTGCCTTTATTTATTCATACAAGTAAATTCAAACTATTAACCACTTCCTGACGTAATTAGTAATTTCTGTTGTAGTTTCCATTGTAAACATATTGAGATTCTCCTGTGGTGAAATCCATGATGTCAACCATGAGGATGTTTTGCTGATGGGGAATACCTTAGATGTACAATGGTTTTATTCTGCTTTGTATAAGTTGCAAAATGCCGTACATTCAGAGATCAAATTAACGCAAATTTCGCTTGAGAAACTTTGCAGAAAAACTGTAAAAAGCATTATATGTGTCGTACAAGAAAGTTCAAAAGAGGAAGACTTTTTTCTGTATTCAAGTATTAAAGATTTCGAATGTTGGCCAAAAAACGTCATTACAGTTGTCCGGGATGAAAGGACTGTACCGAATCTGTTTGAAGGAACCAACATAATTGATGCCACTGGTAGACAAGCAAAATGGCTTTCAGAAGTTATGGATGCAATCAATAAAGCAAGTAAGTCTTTCATATGCTTAAAAAATATCTCAAACAACGATGATGGAAGATAATTATATCACTTTCTATTTTAGCTTCACATATTGTGAGGATGAGGCGTTTTATTACATATCATTGTCCGTCCTTTTGTCCACATGTCATACACAAGCAAAAAGTAAAATATCAAAAATTACGAACTCCGATGAAATTCTATTATATTGACAAGAATGTGTGAGCAAAACAAACAGACATAAAAAGTAAAAACGTCATAAATTGGGGTACAGCTATCAACATTGTAATATAATCTTAATCACTATAAAAGCAAGGGAATGTTTTGAAACAAATTAAGAACCTTAACGGAAGCCACCTTTTTATTCTTTTCATTGTTTTTTTTTTTATTATTATTGTTTTTTTTTTGTTAATTGTTAAAGAATTACTTGACTTTAACCTACCGGATTTAACGCTGTTTCTCGAAAGTCCACTAAATCGAGTAAACTTTTGTTGGTTGATATGAAACTTTATGCTGTTTTTATGATTGTAAAATGACCATTGTCTTGTGTGCCATTCAAGAGTTAAACTACTTTAACTTTCCAATGTAGATCCATTTTTCACATGTTGTGCACTAACTTGAATGTTTTATAACGATTTGATAACAATAAAATGGTGGGTGATACATTCATTACAGGGTATGCTCACTTAGTCTCGCTCCTTTCGGAGAACATTCTATTCCCTTCAGTTATTTGTTTGTTATCTTATCGTTTTAATCGTTATCTTCAGATTTAAACACCGGTTAAATACTGTCATCTTTACTAATATTTAATGGTAAAATAGTTTATTCCAATATGAGTGTTTAACACCATACCAAGTACAGAATAAAACACTACTAAACAATACCCTGTAGGACTACAACATTCGAAGAAGATAGCGATAGGGTGACAAAACAACAAGCTGTCGAAATATTATAATTTGAAGAAATTCTCACTTCAAAGAAAAGCAGCTTTACGTCACACTAATTTCGTTAACTGTTCCCTATATCATGTATGTCACATGTATTAAACACATACGTTGTATATCTTTGACTGTTAATTAATGGAACGTGAATATATCAAGAGTATTAACATTATTTTACGATTTATAGATTTCACAAAGAGATATTAATATATGTCGTGCAAGGATGGGGTGAATAGAATATTGAAAACTTTTCTGTCAAACTTGCACCTAGCTCAAAATTAAATAAATCTTTCTTTTTTATAATTTACAAGTAAAACTTTAGTATATGTTTATGTTCAAACGTAAAATAATAGAAATACCGAACTCCGACAACATTGTCGTAAATTTCGTAATTTAATTTGTCTTTTTGACGTTTCTGATGTGAGCGTCACTGACGAGTTTTTTTGTAGATTGAACGATCATCTGGCGTACAAAATTATTCCTGGTATATCTGATTAGTTTATTCACAAACTATGGAATGATGCCACTGCTGGTGGAGGTTTTCTTATAGAAGGTATCACCAGACTAGTAGTCTGCACTTCAATGTTAACATCAATTATCATTATTGTCGTCATAATTATAAGAAAACTTTGAACTTTTCGATATACTACGGTTTTTCACCCCATGAATAGGTAATCGTAGCTGTATTTGGCAAAACCTTTCGAAATTTTTGTCAACGTTTTGGGGACATTCACTTTTTTATATGAGCGTCACTAATGCAACTTTTGTAGACGAAACGCGCGTCTGGCGTACAAATTTAAAGCCTGTATCTATAATGAGTTAATTTTTAACGAATTTCATTTCTTATTATATTTTCCAAATTATCCTCGAACAGTATCTAAAATTTTTCTTCTTATAGTGCATAAGCCACTCAACAAAGTTTGGAATGTAAAACTTTGTTATTTTTTACCCATGTTTTCTCTCAGAAAGCAAATATTTAATTGTAACAACTTATTATTTTGAAGCAAGATTTAACAGAACTAGAAGAGCTTCAAAAATCGATCCATGTAATGAAATGGTGGTCTTTTCAATTTTTATAAGTTATTGGAGACTCTCATAACTATAATTATACCTCTGCCCAAAGGGAGGGATAATACTGTTTTATTCCTCTCTGTATGTCTGTCTGTCAATCCGTCAGTATGTCCTTCAATCTTTTCTTTGAACTTTTCGCCGATTTATTTACAGGAACTGCAATTAGAGCATACATTGTGTTAACAAGGTTTCTTTCAACTTTTCGTTACTTTTGTTTTTTTTAATATCTTCATCTCTGTTCCTGTTTTTGTCATAAAAATGTTTTGATTCGAGCGGCATTATTATATCACATGTTGACAAAAATGCCCGTCTGACATGCCAACCTAAAATTCTTTATCTTTGGTGGTATTTCATAAATATTCAAATTTTGTAGATGGCAGTTTCTTAAAGAGATTTTTTTATCTGTATAATGTCGCATCAAAGATAAAAAAAATCCCTTATTCGTTGTCCTTACACAATATTGATGTGCACATCCTGTCAAACCTGTTTGCTAAAGCGACAAGGCATTTAAATATATTTTTATCTAACAAGTCGATGGCTTATGACGGTTGAAAGGGAATTCGTTTTGAGGCTTCTAAACATCTTGATAACATGCATTAAAACCTGAATTAAACACGATTTCAAAATAGAAATGGGATAGTCTCAAGATAGTTTGGGGCCTACATCGATAATGTAAGAGCGTTATTGTTTCACTGTGTCAGTCCGTCCGTCAGTCGCTCCGTTAGTTGTTTTTAGCGAAAAATAAACTCCAAAACTATAAATCTGACGTTGATGCTAGTATCGTAATTGTGCATTCAATGCAGATATGCATATCATATCCTACTTGTTTTAAAATTAGGAACCACGTTAAGTCCACCATTTTTCTTCATAAGGAAATGTCTATACCCAGTCAAGAATATGACAGTTGTTTTCAGTTCGTTAGATGTGTTTGAGCTTTTGATTTTGCCATTTTATAAAGGACTTTCTGTTTTGAATTTCCCTCGGAGTTCACTTTTTTGTTTTATTTTACTTTTTTAAGCATATTATTTGAATAAAAATGTATAGATATTTTCAGAAATTCTTTTTGTAAACGCAAATTCCAAAAGCATTGGTAGGATGACGATAACTTATTGCTCAAATGTTGTGCATAAAATGCCGACGTGGTTATTTGGCTATCATCTTTTAAAAAGCTTTGTTTTGTATTAACTAATCACAAAGGAGGTATTATAAGAGCCATATTTTAGCTCCTGAAATTACAAACAAGCGTAAATGTTTTTCAGACTTCACTCACAAATAACCAGGTTAATAGTATATGGACAGTCTAGTGCAAACAGATCATGCGTGACGTCATTGTGACGTCTAAATGCATTTGAAATTGTCGTATTTGACAAAAAGTGACCATTTTGTTGTTAGGTTCTTTGGACAAAATAGATATGAACATTAACTTTATCGAAATACGTAATTTTACATATACGAAAAATATATGGTGTTGCAAATAATTGTTTTTGGTAAAGTCTTTGCTCAAATCTTCATTATCTTAATTATAATTACGGCTGTTTTTGCATTTTTGCACTAAATTCAAGACATTTAAAGCCAAAATGCAAATATTTAATACACATTTTTATTTCATGCATACTGATAAATGTAAAAAGTAAAATAACAAAAAAAAAACGAACTCAGAGGGAAATTCAAAACGGAATGTCCCTTATCCAACATGTCCAATGTCAAAATCAAAAACTCAAACAAATTAAACATATGGATTACAACTGTCATATTCCTGACTTGGTACAAGCATTTTCGTATGTAGAAAATGGCGTATTGATCCTTATTTTATAGCTAGCTAAACCTCTCAATTGTATGACAGTCGCATAAAATTCCATTATATTGACCACAATGCGTGAACAAAACAAACAGACATAATCGTTTTTTATATATATTAGACCGTGGTTTTTCCTGTTTGAATGGTTTTACACCAGTCATTTTTGGTGCCCTTAATAGCTTGCTGTTAAGTGTAAGCTAAGGCTCCGTGTTGAAGGCCGTACTTTGACCTATAATGGTTTACTTTTACAAATTGTGACTTGGATGGAGAGTTGTCTCATTGGCACTCATACCACATCTTCTTATATCTATATAAGATATTAGTCTATTTTTGGTTATATCCATTTGGCTGGGTACTTATACATCCCGTCATTGTGTTATTGTGCTTTGGTAAATTTTTGTATTCTTGTCTTTCGTTTTTGCTTATGTTCTATATACCTTTTTGTTTTTCTTTGTTGACATATTGTTTGTTTTTATAGTGATTAAGATTATAACACAATGTTGACTGTTGTATCCCTACTTTTGACATTTTCACCTATTATATAGATATAAAAAGATGTGGTATGAGTGCCAATGAGACAACTCTCCATCAAAGTCACAATTTGTAAATGTAAACCATTATAGATCAAAGTACGTCCTTCAACACAAAGCCTTAGCTCACACCAAACAGCAAGCTATAAAAGGCACCAAAAATTAAATGACTAGTGTAAAACCATTCAAACATGAAAACCAATGGTCTAATCTAAACGATTTTATGTATAAGATTTCTAGTATTGTTAGGAATTAGGGAGGAGAAACCTTTGTGCTAAAATATTTCAAATTTGATTCTAATTGTCACATTTGCAGTAAGAACTAAGCTGTTCTGACAAAATGGCTAATTTTGAGAAACATCTTTTGTACTTAGTTTTTTATGGCAAATTAAACTATGTGTTTAAATGTTTTTTTCCGAATTGATTCCTGGTAAAAAACATACGATTTTTGTGAATTTTCTATAGTAACTGTGTTAAACGTTAAGGGTATGATTTAATAGTCACAAATTTAGGGAAACAACAGAACAGATCCTTCCGACAAAGCGTCCAATAACATGTCTTTGTCTGTAAATCGTTCTACTACGAGTGTCTTGTAAAAGAATTACGAATAAATGAGCACGCATGTAATCAAATATAAAAAACATATCATTTGACAAGGATGAGATTATGGCG